CTCTCCACCACTCCATTGGAATTTGGTAGAAATGGCCAGCCAAGGGCTTGCCTCCCTGAGATGTACACTACTGCACATAAACCTTTACTGGCTGGACTGTAGTGAAGGAAAAAGAAAAACACATATCTTCTGAGAATTATTTTCTCTTTTCTCCAAATACCTAAAGAAGGTCAGATGAAATATGGCATAATGAAATATGACATGATGCATTCCAGAATACCAATAAGGCCAAAAGAGGTCTATGGATCCAAAATAACAGCAAGAACTGGAGCCTTGCCTAACAAAAGATTTCAGAAGGAAGGCATTTTCTTCGGAGATTTTTGACTGCAGACTTACTCTTGCTTAGTTCCACCCAATACCCTCAGTGGTTCATTTTTGAATCTTTTAAAATGCTACTATGTGTCATGTAATTATATCAGGCACTGGTCATACAAACACCTCATGCTGCATTCATTCTTTGGTACATAGAGATTCCCACATGTGTTTCACTCCAGATTTTTATTCCTTATTTTGGAAACTTCTCACCTTCAAAACACACTTAAGAGTTTATATTCCCCAAACATTATCCCAAACTCCCAATGTAGGTAAGGTTTCCTCTCTCAACACCATCTGCACACACTATGTTTACCCACAGAAAAATACTTTACATTGTACTGTAATGCCAATGAACTGTACTTGTCTGCCTCCTTCAAGACTCAAAGGCAGAGGTTTGCCTTTTAATTCTGAATCCCCAGCACCTAGCACTGTGTGTGTTTATACATTATATATGGATATACATTATACATTATATATAATATATAGACATACATTATATGTTATATACAACACATATATGTAATATGTATATTATATACACACATACTATGTTATATATGTATTATATACAGCACATATAATACATAACATGTATATTATATATACACATAATATATATATTATATATACACATAATATGTAATACCTAATATATAATATATATTATATGTTATATATAATACATATCAATAAATGCTTTTGAATGAATACACAAATACATGAATGACCAAGGAGTGAATGAATGAATGACCACATAGTCCCTATGGTGAAGAAGGTGACTGTAGCTGAGGAGGCAAAAAACTAATTGCCTAATTCTAATTTAACATGTAATAGAGATAAGATCCAAGTGGTGAGACAGAACAACAGGAGCAACGATTATTCTTTTCATCTATGCCTTTTTCTCTTGATGACTGCTCTATTGTTTGTGCACTATAGAGTGTTTAAAATTTATTGTTGAATAATCTATAAGCAAAATCTTGACTTCTTTTGAAGAAAGAAATTCCATACCAATCTATTATGTGAATAAAATAAGAAAGAACATTTGATTAAGAAAACACTGCTGGCTGCCTAGAGCAAACATGTTGAAACTTTCCTGACAAAGAGAATTTCCATGCAGGCCTAAAAGAAAACAAAAAGACAAGTAAAGTCTTTTGGTTATTACCAAGTTGTTTTTGGTGAGGAGAGGACAACTGATGCTAAAAGTAGTGAATATGGAAATTTCAAAGATAGCTTCAATTAGGAAAGTTCACAAACACAAAATGAAGTATATAATCCTATAAATGAGTTATTGAGGAGCTCTACTTTCAAGTGCTTAAATAAAATTCCCAGAGGCTATGCCTGCACGAGGAATTTCTTGATATTTGATCTCTACATTGTTTGGTTTGACACGTGGACAATTGGAAGGTTTGTCACTAAGAGCTAAAGGGGGCCCCTACAAAGAAGATAAAGCATTCTTACTGATGCCTTTTTTCCCAGTTTCTAGTCTCAGCCTTTATTCAATCCCTTATTTCTAGCAAGGACCATAGCAACTTAAGTATTTTACCTGACTCCAGAATTTCCTTCCATTCATTGTATTTTTTACACTGTAAAAAATAAAGAACTTTTATAAAATATGATCAAATTCTGATCTTCCAGCAGTTTGCCTCTCCAATTGGGGTACTTTGGAGACTGGGATGGGGGGCACTCCACAATTTGTGGGAAGCATAAGAAGCTTTACGAAAACTCTGGGGCCTTTCTGTGGGCCTCAGATTCACTCAGTGGTAAGTAGTCATCTTAGTTCATTTGGGCTGCTAAAATAAAATGCTCATCAACTGGGTAGCTCACAAACAAGAGAAATGTATTGTCCACAGTTATGGAGGCTGTGAAGTCCAAGATCAAGTTGCCAGCCCATTTAGTTTCCGGTGAAGGCCTGCTTCCTTTTTCATAAATAATCTCCATCTTTTCGCTGTAACCTCACATTGCAGAAGGGGACCAAAGAGCTCTCTGGGGCCTCTTTTATAAGGACACTAATCCCATTTATGAGAGCTCCACACTCATGACCTATTCTCATAGGTCCCACCTCCAAATGCCATCATGCTGGTGATTATGTTTCAACATAGAAATTTTGGTGGGGATACAAACATTGGGTCTATAGCAATATTTTAAAACATTTTAAAATGTTAAAACAAATATTGTTATATTACAAAGTTAAATGTGAAAGTCACAGGGCTTTTAAAGATAAAGTGTGAGACCAAAAAAATGCAAAGCTTCTGATGGAAACTGTTGCATTTTACTCAGACCCCCATGGCACTTAGGTGAAAAGGTAGAAAAGTGTTATTTTGAAGGTAAATTGTCCAGACTAGCCTCTCACCAGCTCAGAAAACCACTTGTTCTAAAAAGTCATATGGACATTAATGCCTTCATAACTTTGTTCTTGTGTTTTTTTTTCTACCTGGAATTCTTATCCCTTCTCTTGGCTAACTCTTCCATTCATTTATGCACTCATTTATTCAGCAAACATTTGATGAATTGCATTCTGCCAGATGTTCTACTAGGCCCTCATGATGTAGGGATAAAGAGATCCTGCAGAGATGGTGAGGAGAGTTGGGGGATCATAGAAGAAAATTAATAAACATACTAATGGCCTGACATTGCTTTTATGTACTTAGTACTAGGATGGACACTTTCCACATTTCTATTTAATTCTGAGAAGTAAGTTTTCCCAGTCCTGAAATTTGCCTTAATGACACACAATAAATGCCACTTGCATTCATGGCCTACAATAAATGGCTAAAATAAAACACAATCCAGTTTGACTCTGATTTATGCTCTTAAAATTTACTGACTACACAGTTTGATGTGATCTTCTAGATCTGGCTTAAGTGTTTAATCCTATCTCTTTTTCTTCCCTGCAAATTCTTCCCTTACAGTACAATAACTTTCTCCCTAATATTCTTTATTATCCTGCATTTCATTATTGATATTTGTATATATGTTTCCTGTGCCACAATCTGGGAAAGCCCCCAGAGCAGGTGCTTCTCAGATCTCTGTGTGTATCACGTACTCCTGGCACAGTGGATCTGCTGAACATGGCAGCATAGGATGGCCTCTGTGGTGGACCAAGCCCATGAAAGACTTGCTGAGATCACACATGGCTGCACACAGGCCTTAAGATGTGTTTTGTTCAGCCTAAAAAAAGAGTTCAAAGCATTTTTTAGTTTGTCAACTTTAAGAAATAAAGAGGTTATCTTAAATTCTGCATTTCCAGCTTCTCTTTTAAAATGGAAAGATTTGCAAGCATTCATTAGTTGGTCAAGCATTTCTGCCTAACCACAGTTAGCCAGAGCTGCATATCAGCTGTCTGCTTTAGAGGGGGCCTGCACTCCACAGTTCGCCACAGTCCCTACTGCCATGCTGTGCTTCTTTGAATTTTATTTCCTTATGCACTTGCAGGGACCTGACCCTAGTATTTCCAACTTTTCTTCTGTATCCTCTTAAGTCTCTTGATTCCTATATATTCATATAATGGTAGGAATCTATAAATAATAAAACTTTTAAAGTAAAAACAATTGAAAGGAAAATACAAAGCTATCAAAATGATGTCAATACAATGTGCATAACAGTAAACTGTTCATTTACCCATTTTACTAAATATAAGTTAAGTGAAATTCTTAGAACAGAAAGCCTCATTACTACATAAATATTAAAATATATAGGAAAGATGCTCTCAAGAATGGCAAGTATAATTTCACCTTTCAAATAAATATAGACTGCACAGGTCTATTTATAACTTGCTCATGGTCTTTTCATAGCTATTTCAGCTCACACATAAGAGGTTACCTGGAAACAGTACTATAGTGTGGTTTGTAGTGATTACAATTACAGAAAAAATTCATTAATTCAAAAACTTCAATGCTTGGGATAGAGAATGGGGGCAAGCTTGGCTTTATATTATAGAGAGTTTATGCAAAGATTTGCTAAGCAAATATACTGAGTAAATTGTTCGTAAAAGAACCGCTTGCTTGACAAATTTTAGAGTCATGAATTCTCAACAATGTAAGTGCATTGTAAGCAAAAGCTAGGTACTGCTTAGTTGGTATGTTGATATAATAAGTAGAAATCATTTTTATCTACTCTGTGAAGCAGTACGCCTGCTAGCTTTTTACCCTAGTTCAAGCTGCAGTATTTATTTGAAAACAATAAGATATTGTTCCAATAAAATGTGTTGTTTCACTGACTTTTCATCGTCTCAAACAGCTCTTTTCCCCAAGTTAACTGAACTAGATCCGACTCTATTTAGTAAAGTGCAAAAAGGATACCATAGTTCACAGCAAATCCTAATTAGTCCCCTAAAGCTTCAATAGACACATCCATTATATTAAAAAACCACGTTTTAATAATGTGAGAGTTGGTAGCCAAACAATAAGTGTCCAAACATGATGAATAGCAGGTTAACCACCTCTACGAAAGTAGGAGCTACCATGCCATGTTAGCCCATTTTTGCTTAGTCTTGTAATATATAAAATCCTAGTATACAGCTTTATGAATCTGTTATATTAGAGAGTTGCCCAACATCTCAAGATAAATAGGAGTACAGATAAATGTCTTACCTCTACTGGTAGTCATTTATAAGAAAAAGAATATGTTTTAAGGTACAGAAACAAACCTCTAAAACAGTTGAAATTGATAAGAACACTGTGTCCTACCTGGGTCACTTTCTCTGTCACATTGTGCGTTCGATCTTTAACCTTGGGTGCAATAATGGTTTTGTCTGAAGAAGGAGGAGATGAATTCTTTTTCTCAGTTTTGACCTCTGAAAAATTCAGAGTGAGCTGTGGAATCTTGTTAATGGTGCTGTATTTGTTGAGGTTTGAATCTGATGTGGATCCCAGGAGGCTTGACTTGATATGATTAAAAGGCCCTAAAAAATAAAAAAGGAAAGTATTTGAAAGAGTAATATAAGAAGATATAGAAGAAAGAGACAGTTCTGAATACTTTGCTAATGATTCATGACCAATATGATCCTGATTTGACTGTGACTAAATGCAGCTAGCTTATACCTGGACACAGGGATTGGGTCACCTTGGGCCACATGGAATGGCATGTGAGTATCTGAGAATAAGACTGGGTTCTAGGTGTGCACTCAGAGAGCAAATGGCAGATTTAGCTGTTAATTAGTTTCTTTCATTAAAAGCTACAATAAAACAAAAAACTACACTCTCTGTTATTGGTCAAATTCTACCTTTAAAATTTCTTATAAATTTCATTTTGTAATTTGAGGATTATTTAAGAAGGACTTACCTATGGTTAAAGTCATATTGGCCATGAAATTTCCAAATGGATTGTTTGCCCTGCTCCAATTTGTGTTACTCCCCTCTGTGTCACTGAGGAGTGACAAGCCATCTAGGCTCTTCATATGTTTCCACTACCTATATGAGATGCTCCATAGAACTTCTAAAATAGTTAAACCCAGATGAAGGAATTACAGATAAAGCTTCAGAGGGTGAAGGGCCATTTTTGTGTGAATGTGTGTACTCTAATGAAAACTCCAGGATCATATGTGGGATTTTTAGATCCTTTTTTTCCTTTCACTTATGTTTAAGTCTTGACCATTTTCTGAGAAAAAAAAAAAAAAAAAAGGTGCTATAAAAACCACACAAGCAGAATGCTCTGGCAAACATAACTTACAATAGAAGTGCCACAGCTAGGTAATAGGGCATGTCAGGGGTTGATAGTACCTAGTCACTTCTCGCAATCTTTCCTACAAAGATAACTTGGCAAGGTGGCAAGACTCCTGGTTTCCTTGTCGAGGGAGTAGATTGACCAGCTATATCTTCCTTCGAGATGAATCTGTTATCTGTTGCTTATGGAGAATCAGGAAATTCTCTGAGAAGTATCTTGTGTAATGAGCAATATTACATACACTGTTATTTAGCTCTTAAAAATTAACAACAGAATTTTATAAAAATCGTGAACTCCCTATTTTTGTGCCCCGGAAAGTGGTTAAAACATACAAATTGCATCAATAAACTTGTTAGGCAGCATAGTTGCCTTCTGTTATTTCTTCATCTGTTCAAAATGAAGTGAACCCATTTTTGGGATCAAAATGTACTTTAAGCATCAAGCAAGGTATAAACACTTTAGAATTAGAGTTAAAGATTTTGCATTTGGGACAACAATCAATCAACTCGGGTCAGATATAATAGTAAGAAATCAATGCTCATCATTTTGTTCATAGTCACTATGGGGGATATCACACTATACTTGTTCATAAAAGTTTAGACTTGTTTATTATAAAACTGTGAAGTAATCTTAATAAATTTTCATGTATTTAACAAATACTGTGTTTCTTGAGTTGCATTTGTGTTGACTCCCTGATTCTTATCTGTGACAATGACCAAGTCCATCTAGAAGAAAAATGTCATGAGCTCTCCAGGAATTTATTGCCTTGTATGTTCTCATTTGCATATAGAACCTAACTCTCTTTTCCATTTATACAAAGATAGAAATAAGAGTAAGTAGTGGCAACAAATTCATCTAGCCTTCAGATAGTTCTCTGACAGAAACTCCATTCTTCAGGTCTTTTTGGAAGTCTCCAGCCCACATCACTAATTTATTTTATTGTAATGCATACCAGGATAGTGTTTTCCTTTCTGTAGCATTCTGTAGTTGAGTTCTAGGTTTTATATCTTAATATTTACAATTTGTAAATTATGCCAGGATTTCAGGTTTCTTAGATACTGTCTTTTCCCCAACTCTAATGTCATATTTTCACTCCTCAGTTTATTTAACTAACAAGGATCCTATTAAGAGATTATAGATAACAGAGCTCAAATATATAGTTAAACTGTATTCAAAACCCGTAAGCTCATCTTTCCACTCTCTTTCTGTGTCATCCTTCTCTATGCTGCATTTTTGTAGCAAACTGTCCACAGAGTTGTTTAAAATTTGGCTAAATTCACGGATCATCGATGTCATCATAGATTCTACAATGTTAATAGAGAGAAAGACACTGTTGATCTACTTTAATTGCCCTTGTGACCAGTTCCAATAAACTCCACTGAACTGGCTACACTTATATAAGCAGGTGATTTCAACTATGGTAGTATTTCACTCTAGGGGAGATTTGTGGCAGCATTTTTTGTTGTCACAATTATGAAAGAATTTCAATGTCACAATTCTCCTTGCCTTAAAGAATTACCTTACCTGCCTCAAGGGCATTCATGCAGGTGAAAAGCCTGTTTATTCATGAATTGAGCCTTAAAACTAACTGTTTCACATATAAACACCGCAATGTGCTTTTTACATGATTTTAATATAAATTGAAATTTCCAGAGCTACAATTTCCATGTAGAGGTAAGAATATATATTGTTTTATTCAGAACTTTGTCAGAAATCGCTCACCATTTTGGATAATTATGCCACTTAGAGCTACACTCCTTGTGGCACTTGAGTGGCCAATAGAAAATTTTAGAGTTTAGATTACAATCTGTGTTTGGATCTGTCATTTGCAAATATGTAAGATAAGAGACTTGAGTGTTCTTTATCAGTGTTGCAACCAAATATTGTTAAATTTTCAGAGAATTACCAAAATCACACTAATAAAAGTTCCTTCAAAAATATTTTATATAAATATCCTCCTATATATTTAAAATGATATGATACTATGAAAAGGAACCTATGTCTTAAAAATGAAGCACTTGTAATTATTTATTTGTCTTTGGGTTGCCTGTTGGTTTTCAGTCTCATTCTCAAAACTCCCTGCAGATCTACCACAACTTCTCTATAATGTCTCAATTGCCATTTCATTTTCCATTCCATCTTTGGTTTCTCCTTACATAACAAAGCATGTTTGCAGGGTCTTTTTTTATGTATTAGAGGATGAATGTATGTCCTGACATCTAGTGGGATTTCTTTCTTCTGTGTAATTCACTACTATTGCATTATATCACGGAAAGTATCATTTTGACACTACCATTAAAAGCAAGAGCTAGATCCTTTCTGAGACTACCATACTTCCTTATTTTCCCTTCAGCTTGTATTGATATATCAATCATAATTAAATTTCAGTTACTTCCCATTTTAAAAATTCATGTATAAATAAGCCTGATATAATTCTTGACTCCAATGGTGGTTTTGATTATGCTACCCATCCATACTCCTGCTGACCATTTTATCTGGTACCTTTATGGAATATTTTCTCATGTACTTAATGCTTTTAAAACCAAATTTTCTTCATGTGTCTAATTATTGCATTATGTTTTCTAGTGCAGTTATATTTGAACACTAACATTTTGAAATAAAGATTTTATTGTAAAGTGCTTTTCTTTTATTTCTCCTGTGTATTCCAGTTAGGGAATCACATTGATATTTTAGAAATAGGTTAAATTATCTCCGAGTTCAATTTCAGGATAGCAAAATGAGTATAACGAAGTATTTATTGAGACAAGGAGACATAGGATCTGATAAGATTGAGAAACTGGTTGATAAAATGTCATACTCAAATTTAGCCTCAGAATTTGCAACTTCATTGCATTCACTATTTTAGCTTCTCTTATTTGCAGGTGGAAAAACCCTCTAAACTCTTACTCTCTTCCAGGTTTGTTTTTTTTCTCTTAGTCTTAAAGAGTTAATCCACATTTTCTTTTAATCTATATTTTAATTAATTCAGTAAAACTTAAAATATTACTTAAAATAACTTGTGAAAGCTACTTAGATAAGGCATTTAAAATTTATTTCATGCTGTATAAAAAAGATAATTATGCTTCTTTCTAGTGATTTTAAAGCAGATGTTTAAATGCAGAAGACTTCTAGAGTCTTCAAGATGATCAATGTTGACTTAGGTTCCTCTAAGCCCATCAAAATGCAAATGAAAAAGATTTCAACATTTTAACTAAGGTAGGTATTAACAATATCCTTATTTCACCAATTGTAAACCTAAGCGGACAGAATATGAGGCCAGAAAAGAATAAGAATAAAGGACCAGAATTCAGGGTTTCCTACCTCCTACGTCTATATTCAGAGAGGCCTTGGTTGAGGATTTAAAGGTGAAAGGCAGCCTCACTGAGAGTGATCATGAACAGATGGGATTTAGGATTCTAATGAAAGAAAGGAGAATAACCTGAAAAACAAAGTAAATAAATTTAAAGGAAATGAATGGGCAGAAATAGGGGGAAATAAGAGATTCAATAGAAAGTCATGTAAAACTCAAAAGCATAGAGGAGTATTTGATGTTCTTCAGAGAAGCATTTGCAAGATGGATGACCAGGTTACATTTTTCAATATAGTAAGAGAAGGTGGAAAACAGGTGACCAAGTAGACTAAACCAACAGCTGGAGAGCGCTTTAATATATTTCAAGTGTCTGATTAAACATAAAGTAGGCTAATTTCCAGCTGCAAAGGAATACCTACATTTAGACAAGAAGCTAGAGGCTAAAGCAACAACTGGGAAGAATTTTAGATTAAAGATATTTAAAATTTGTATGATGAGGCTATTTAAATTATCATGAGATATGAGATGCTAAAGGAGAATATATTTTTCTTTTAGATGGTGCTGGAAAGCTAAGGGCATCTGATAGATTAAAAGAAAATAATACTACTTTAAAAAATCGTTTTGGAGGGAAAAATATGATAGGAAAGAAGGAAACCAGACAGAAAAAGGTTGTTTTTAAATCATCAGGTATTTGTACAATATATCTTAGGGCACTGAGTTTATTTAGCTAAAGTTTAATAAAACCCAAATTGCTGAAGTGACTTAACATGAGAGAAGATGCAAATGCAGTGTTTAATAATTAAACTTTGTAAAAGAACACTGTCAATAAGTATAAGGCAACCAGTTTAGCACTTAGAAAGATGCATAAGAAGTAATCATCAAATTATTTTTCTTCATATTGTCTGTTCCAGTGAATGACATATTATTGCAGGAGTAAACTGTTATCATTGAAAATCAATTTGCAAATCCTCATCAGATGACAAGATACTGGGTAATGGCCAATGCATCCTATGAGAAACAAGTTGTATTAGATTAATTTATTTCATTTGTGAGCCATATAGGCTAGAGAGGAAGTAAAAGCTGTAACAAACCTGTGAAGTAGTTTTACTTCAGAGTCATAGGACAGATTCATAGACAAATTGGCAATGGAACACACCAATGTCAGAGGGAAGCAGGGTTACTTAGGATAACAAGGAGGCAGAAGCATTAAAGGGGCAAAATTGTGTTATGACTTATTTACGAAATAGAGAAAGTGAGGTAGATTTTTATTGATGACTTGTAAAGCAAAATAGACAGAAAAGCCACCAAGTTTGAAGTAAAAATTAGTATATGAGTGATGGATGTTGGATTAGGTCCTCTCACATATTAGAGAAGTTGTTAAATTATCATACATACATATAGCAGGATGTGCAATTTATTTGAAATAACTTTTCCACTCTTTGACAATGGTTTACACTTTTAAAAAGAACTTGAAGTGTGAGCTTAAGGAGTCAGAATGCTAAGAAAATTTATTAAAGGGAAATGAAATAGATCCTAAGAACGAAGATTAAGTGGAAATTAGTTTTAGAAAAAAGACTGAGTATCAATTTGCTGTCTTTTTACTGTGATATTGCATCATGATTAGCAGTAGTCAGCTAGTATCTCTGTCTAGTAGAGATAGATGAAGGGGAAAAAATTCATATCAGAAAGAAGGATTTAGGTTAGCTCTTTGTGTAACAGGCACTAACACAGACTTCCCGAGAAAGCTAAAGAATGGCATCTTCTGGAGATAAATGTACCACCTGTACAAGGTATTTAGCCAATACCTCACCTGATATAAATAAACCAGATGCTCTTGAAGACATTACCAACACATTCCTAAATTATTTATTTAATTCTGATAAATAAATGTTTTTTTGGTTAAATTAAATATTGAAATAATTAATTATAATTATGCATTTTGTACACAAAGCAGGGTGGAAACCTGCATGTTTTTAGTCTTTTATTTAGATCTGGTATAGAAGCAAAGCCAAACTTAAAATGCACACTTAATGTATGGTCCTGTACCTAATTAACAAGGTTAATGGCTTTGTGAAAAATCTTAGAGGCAGACACTTAAACATTGTTAATAGTTTTCAAAACCAGAGCTTGAAAAAAGTAATGAAGGTTTTGGAGTGAAAATTTACATTAAATTTCATTACGTTTGCAAATGCTTTCTCCAATTTGGGGATAGAACTTCTTAAGTATTAATATGTGAAAACTTTCTACAATAGTTCAGAGATTTGTAATGCAAAATTCTGACTTTGATGATTCTACCATATACTTTAAATTGTGATTGTAAAATTGATGTCAATCTGAAATGTATGTAATAAAGAATATCTGTATTCAAAGACCACTCCTATTAAAAGTGAGAGAGTGAGAAAAAAGGTTGGAGAGTAAATGAATTATTTTATGACACTAAAATAAAATAGCTGTACTTTGACATATATGTGAACTAGTAGTTTGAAAGTTAAACAAGTCCAATTCTCTATTTGTTGAGAAAAATTAGATTCATTTATCACTACATTCAAAAATCACTAGAAAATTAATTAATGCCTACTAATTTACTGACAATTGTTAAATTCTAAAGCTAGTTGGCAAGAACTATCTGTATCCTGCTTCTTGAGGTTACGTTCTGAATTATGTCAATGCAAACCACTGCACACAGTTGACACTATTTTCTCCCTTTTAGAAATCACAGTGGACAGGCCAAAAAAAAAAAAGAATAATGATGTAGGTGAAATCCCGCCCCACTATTTGGGTCAACCTGCATAGACCCTTTTTAAAGTGCTTACAAAATAAAATTGCATTGCGTTTGGGGGGATACTGCCATAATTTCCCTGATTTTCAAATTTCCCTAGGTTGCTGACCAAGCATTTTTGGTCCCTAGTCTATTAATTCATAACCATCATCAGTTCTGAATTATTTTAGGGAAGCAAGTGAGAAATCAATATACAAAATTGCACAGTGGTCAGTGTACCAGTGACATTTAAGAGAGAGTGGTCAAAACAGTGAATTCTAAGTAATGACGGTTACTGGTGGAGACGTGTTCATGCAACACACATGCACAAAATAAGTCACGATCACCATTTGCACACCCACAGCAGCATGCACGGCCTATGTTGAAAGATCAGGCCCCAATGGTTTTCAATTTGATGATAATAATATGGTTATTATATTTTGTGATCCTTGTATCTACTATGATACAGTAGAAAACAGAAGTGAATTTCAAATTTTTAGCCCAATCCAAATTTATCCAGACTATTTCCAGTTAAACGTAACCCTCTGGGAGTTGTAGGTCATGCCAGTGATTTCAGGCTAATATAGAACACAACTAAAATGATTAAAATATAATAGAGAAAAATAGAAAACGACTATCATGCATATATAGTTTACTACTACAGTAAGCTGAAAACCATACCCCCTGCCATCCAGGAACGTGAAACTAGTTTTGAGGAAACAAAAGAGGAACAAGTGAAGTGATGCTGTCACGTAGCACTTTGCTTATTTTATTTAATCTTGCACTCAAAATTGTTGTTTTCCTGATAGGCTTTTGTGCCTCTGTCACATCAGAATATATTTAGCTTGAGGTTTGTGCTTTTCCAAATAATTTAAATATTTAGGAAGTATTCATTGTCAACCTAGGCTTATGGTTCTTGCAGGCAAAAGGAGCTCATAATCATTTTGGTGACGCAGCAGAGAAATAACAATGTCTCTAGCAAAATCAAGCCATGATGTCTCCACCAGGCACCCCGAATAGCTAAGGGCAGCATGAAGATGTTGCATTGAACAGGGCATACAGCAGGCAAGTTAACATGCCGAGTAAAGGGGCACGTTGAGCATCAGATGGTGAAATTTGAGTTTGTACATTACCTTTGACATTGCGACCATTGTCTGTTTTGAGCACATAAGGATAAAAAAAGAGAAATATAAAAAGAAGACTAAAATTATATTATATACACTGAATCACCTGTATAAAAACAATCAGAGAAATCAGAATATGATGGAAAATTTCTCTTTAATTGAAATTAACATTGTGTACTATTCCACCAAGTAACATGCATATACTAAAAATAGTATCTGTCATAATATACATTCTTATTTAAATATGTGAAGCATTTATCTCAATTTCAATGGATTCCAAAGTACAGATTTTATAATTATGACAGTTTAGAAATAGATTTCCCCAGATGCTGCAGTTGTGACAAAACTTTCAACCTTGTCAACAGCCAATTTTAGTGTCTCCTCAACTGTCACTGAGAATATACTCAAAGGAAGACTCCACATTTTGCATGTTAAGTAATATTTTGCATATAATTTAACCCAGTATGTTAATAAGGAAAATGTTTCTAAGATAACAGTTCCTTCCCTCCCTCCCTCCCTCTCTCCCTCCCTTTCTTTCTTTCAGGACAAGGTCTGGCTATATCTCTCTGGATGGACTTGAACTCCTAGGCTCAAGAATCCTCGTGCCTTAGCCTCCTTAGTAGCTGCGACTACAACCACAACACTCTGCCTGGCTCCACTGTGCCTGGCTGCAACTTACATTATTAAACACAATTTTATTAACTGCCCTCCTCCAAATGTTCTTCAATATATATTTTAAAAATAGCAAATATAACTCAGAGAGTCATTCTTAGACAAAAATAATTGTTAGATGTAAATGAAAGATTAGATTGTTTTAAAAAATGTTAACATATTAATGTCACAATGAATTCAGTGTAATTACTAGAATATTGAAAAATTTTATTTGTAATAAAATGGGCTCTTTTAAAATCTGAGTTAAATATTTTCAGATTTATTTTGCGATCAACAATCTAAATGCTGCATACTTGCCACTAACAAAATATGCATTACTAGCTATGAAACACACAAGCTTAAAATAAATGTCACTGTCGTATCAAAACCATTCAAATATATCCAAGATTTGAAAAATCTGTTCAGCATTTTGTTGATATCTATGCTAACACTGTGCCCATTTAAAATCTTGGAATATATCATAATAATTTCAAAGCTTACAACTGAAATAATTCTAAGAGTGTGGTATATTGAATTGCTCGTAGACATTGCATTGGACAAAGACATACAAATAAAACTGTGGCCTTAGATAACAACTCCCTTTCCACTTGGAGAGAATCACAAAAAACAAATAGAGATAGTGGAAGAGATCTTGATTACCCAGAATGAATGTGTCTATCAGAAGCTGGATCCAAAAACCATTAGTAAAGTAACAACTGCTTGCAAGTAGTTATAAATTACAACTGTACTTATTAAACCTAAACATTATATATAATGATTTACCAATTCCAAGAAAACTAACAAAACATTACATTATGTAGTTATTACAGCTTTGACCTTCCAAGGCAGAGTATGGCTTGTGCACTGGTCTTAGCTGAGATCTGCTTGTTATCCTTCCATGACAATGTAAGTACAGAAATTGGAGTAAATATTTAGAAACTTTTGTAGCAGTTTGGCAGAGTAATTTCATGTCTGATTAATCTAATAATAAAACAACTGGGGTTTATATTTTGTGTCTATTTTTTACATTTCATTATTCTAGTAGTACATTTTTATTGAATTCACAAATGTATTGGTCAGTGATGAATTAGAAAACAAAATTCTAGTTCTTCATCAAAGATGGTTTGAAAAGTATGGTTCTAAGGTACTTGATAATGTGGATTAAATGAGAGGATAAAGTAAAATATTATTCATTAATGTATCTGCAAAATATTTAAAGTTCTGTGAAGATAGCCTGTACAGGAGAATGTTTTTATTTATTTGAATGAGGAGACAACAATCAGACTTTGAAATCTCGTGCATTATTTCACCTGTTAATCAGTTACATGAATTCATAAAACTAAAATCACGTCTAAAAGTTTTCCATCTTTCCTTATCAATGGCTCTATTTGTAAAATATACCAAATTACAAAGTCTTAGGAAATGTAGTTTCTTTTTTGCTAATCAGTGATTTTGTGCTAAAATTGCTCTAAAGATGAAGGATAAAATACCCTCTGAATTTATCAATCTGTAGTCACATGTCGACTATAGCATAATCTATAAGAAAGTAATACTTTTTTTGAAAACAGCTTACTTTGGGTGAGGGAGAAAAATCAAGGATGATCTAGCACCAAATGTTTATTGTACCTGTACTGAGAAATCCAAAAATATTAAATCATTCTTTCTCATAATTGTATCAGTAACTGTGCACTAAATGGAGATCATATACATTAAAACAGTGAAGTTAAATCAAGAAATCTAATCTAAACTACTTAGCACCACTGTCCAAACACAGGCTAAGTCAGTACAATGCACTGATTACATATCAGTTTGAGTTTCAAATTTATTGTTTTTGAATTTTACTATACTACTGTTATAGAAGTCAGGATCTCTCTAGGGAATCACTGAAAGGTCAACTTCCGAAAAGTTAGTATGATTGCTAAAAGTGACTACACTAACTAAACTAGCTAAAACATATGCTGGCCATTTGAATTACCATATTGAATTTACTAGTCATGTTTAGCCACAGGACTCACTGATCAAAGATCAAATTCTAGTGGTTTCATTCTGTCAGGAAATATTGAGTCTGCCATTACTAAATGGGCTAGGACCTTAGATGATTATCCAATTTGGGAATTGGCCTTGTGTTTTCTTTTTTCCTTTTGACCCTCTTTGGCCCACAGATTAAAAGGATGTGTTAATTGTTCTTGTATCTTTTTCTGAGCTATCAATTTATCTTTCTTTGAACTTTTCCCTGCCAACTCTTCCTTTCACCTCTTCTGCCTTCTCTACTTCATGGTGTCCTTTAGATAAAGATCCTCTATACGATTTACTCTTAAGACTTCAGTTTAACCTCAGAGTATGGTGGAGCAGATAACTCATTATTTTCTGATCTGCATGATTTTGAAACAGAACTCACAAGCACAGTCCTCTCAACATCACATGGTCTTCTCAATGTCACACCAATATTTATCAAGTATCTGCCATGAAGTAGACAATTGTGCTAGATACTAAGGGTGCAGAGCTCACTATGCCAGAGTGCCTATCCTGGAGGACCTCACAGCAACATAATTGTTTGTTTACATATCTGACAAGAATGACAGACATATAATACACAATAAATATAAAATGCAATCCATGCTACACTATATGTAAATATTGGTTTGTAAACTTGAGTGTGAAATGATTTAATTCTTCTGGTTTGGAAAGGGGGAAATGGGTCCCTGACGCTGAGTGGTAGTATAAGGAGGGACAAATGGGGAAGAGTATTCCAGGCATAACAAAGTAATGAAGCAAGAAAACACATGTTACATTTTTGGGAAAAGGCAAATTATATCCGTGCAGGTGTAGAATAGAGTATGTAGTAGGGAAAAGAGTCTTGCTGGGGCTAGAAATTAGGCTGGAAAAATAAGTGTGATCAGCTGACAAAGTGCTTAACACCTCACACTAAGAATTAATGTTTTAAAGACAAAACCAGCAACAGCTTGGACAGCCAGTATCTCAAGAACCCAAATCTATGCGAATCTGAAAAGTGGGTCTGCTGTACCCATTCCGGGAACTTTGATTCTCAGACTCCCTGGGGAAAGTCAAGAGATTCAACAGACTCCTCCTATGGCAAGGTTTCATGGAGGAGCAGGAGTGAGGGAGGAAAAATATTGCATGAATTTGATTGTAGACTATGGAGACAGGCAGTCCTGAGTTTGAAGCCAGGCTCTGACACTGACTAGCTCTGTAACCTTAGTCTAGTTGTTTATTTAACATATCTAAGCCTCTGTTTCCTCACTTATTAAATAGGGCTTAAAAATGATTCCTAATTTGGGTTTGTTATGAGAGTAAAATGAGACTTAATGTGTGTCAAGCACTTACATTGCCTCAGACATAGTAAGTACTTAACCAACGTTATCAATTACTGTGTTCATGATGAATTGTTTCTGCCATTGCTTTTTAAGTATTCTTAATTTCACTACTGGCTAATATAAGAATGTGAACATAAAGAGGTCAGAGAGAAATAAATTCTGATTTGCTTTTCCAGTTGATTTTGGTTGAGATCAGGACTTTCAGGATTTTTTTTCCCTTTACATTTTTCCCCTTCTTCCTACCTACCTTGCACCCCTGTCAGCTTACAGCTTTCTGATCACTCAGTACATCACGGTTCCTATGCTGCTCCCTTTGGAAAGAGTCGGTCAATGAACTAGCCCTCTGATGGCACAAATTCTTTCTTCCAGGGCATGATCATTTGCTAAATGCAGCAAAATTAATTATGCTTGAGATGATAGTGTTCATCACCTAAGCGCATGTTATAATAAGCATTAATTAATTAACACTCCATGTGGTAGGCAGATAATGGTTATCATACTATTTCAGAAATACAGATAAAGAAGCCAGAAGAAACTAAATTACTCATTAGGGTTCAAAGAGGAAATCAGTAACAACTCTGAGTGTAGGACTCAGATTTTTAATAGCCTTTAATCACATTTCTTTCCCCAATGCATAGGGATTATTGTTGAAATTTAAAACGATATGCAAATAATCATTTATTACCCGTGAATATATGTTTCCATTTAAAAAAAAATCAAACATACCTTCGCTGGCATGTCGGTCTCTAAATATGTTCTTGGGATGGACGCTGAATCCTTCTATATCATGAACTGAAGATGCTCTCCGTATACTACATAAGCTTTCCCTTGATCTGGAATGGGACAGCTGGGAACTTGACTGCAGCATATCAGGGTAGAGTCGGTCCCATTGTCTTTTGGGAGAGGAATGGTCAAGAGGTCCGGATATATTCACCAAGGGAGAACATTTGCTGGGCTGTATCAAAGCTTTTGTGTCATCTGCTTCAGAAGGGCTGCAGCTTTCTTTTGTAGGAGACTTAAAGTGCTTCATGGCTACCGAATCATCGCTGTGTTTAGATGAATCGATGACTACCACATCGGGGTCTTCTTGTGGTAAGGACTGCTTTCTGTAAGTGAGAACTCGCAGACCAGGGAACTTGAACCCGAAAAATTTCCCTATAAATGGAGACAGGAGAGAGCATTATTATAAGGTAAATTATATATCTTGTAACAAAAACAAACATTGTTGACTCATTTAAATACCATATAAAAATAATTATGAATTAATGGTTATAGTTGGAATAAGGGATATTGTAGAAAACTTCTCTGAGACCAATGTGAAGCATCATATAAGTAATAAGAAAACAGCAAATAATTTGATCATGTTTCTGATGATTAGATCCACATCAGTGACATAAAATTATTTGGATGACAGGAGACTTTTAGTTTTAATAAAATAAAAACATGCATCCACTATACATCCACTTTTCTAGGGAAATTGAAGGATGAACAGAGTTTTAAGGAAATATGATCTAGGGCATCGTAAGTCCAGGGATAGACACAGGAGTGAGTACAGCCTATGTACATGTGTGGGTGATGGAGGGCTAATGTGTTGGAGCAGGCAGGAAGGAAGTGAGGTGAGGTAAAGAATAGACCTTGTATATTTAGAAGATTTGTACTGAATAATATTGTGAGTCAAGTTTGGGTGGAAAAAGTGGGGTCAACTGTGTATGAGAGGTTTATCATTCCATCTGGAATTCTTAAGGACTTTTGGTTTTAAAGAGAAATGCACCATACTGGTAAAGATTTCTTTTTCCTGTTTTCTTTTCTTTTTTTTTTGGCTCCAAAATTGGATAGTATGGCATATAATGTTTTGTCTGTCTCAGAGTGGTTGATTCACAGAAGGACAACTAAATGTAAACTTTAAAGAGCAGATGTTAAAAATTAAAATATTAACTATAAATATAACATTAAAATATTAAACTTTAATTGTTAGGTATATAAACTCACTAGTAGTAAAAACTGCAAAGTAAAACAAGAGGATATAATTTTTCTAGTCTTCAATTTTGCAGTAAATGAAAGAAAGCATAACATCTAGTGCTGGCAAAGAATGCTGGGGAGCATTCTGACATTTTGGTGGTGGGATTGCAGATTACTACAAACTCTTTGGAAAGTCTTCAGACAATATCTATTAAAATGAAAAAACATACACTTTTATTTTGACTCAGTTATCCACATGTGGGATATTGCAAAGGCATAAAAATGAGAAACAATTGGATTATCCATTAGAAGGAGAATTACTGAATAAATTATGGCATTTTTATTATTTGGAATCCAACGATATTCTTTAAAAGGTTGCTCAAATATAATGTTAAGTAAAAAAAAGCAAGTTTAAATTCCACGTGTTCACATAATTTTCATCAAATAAAACAACAGCTTATATTTGTTCATATATTTGTATTGAAAGTTTCAAACTTTTAATGTTGACTAGCTCAGTGGGTGGGTTTGGAAGTAGGGAGGTAGAGTGTATTGCATTCTTCTTTATATATCTTTTTTTATGTCAAGCATGCATTCGTTTATAAACTAAAAAAACTAATAAAGTAAAACTTTCACTCCTCAAATAACATAAAAACAGAGGACAAAGTATCCAAACAATAATCTGTCATTTTTATTGTCCCCACAGTAGTCTAGGTCCACATTACCTATGGCTTTACAATTACACACTGACCTTAAGTCAGTCAACTTAAATCTTTGAGTTGCAATATTAACTACCTTCTTGTATTATTTAAATGTCATAGACACCATTATCTTTAATAGATTTACTATGAACTTTTCCTCAATGCATTGAAGATGCTTCTAAAACATGGAAGAACACTCTCAAAACTCACAAACATTTCTCCATGTTGAGTATACTCTTCCAGTGGATGGTTTTTTTCTATATCCACATATTCAATTCTGTCTTCAGTCCAATGACTCCTAAATATATATTTTCAGCCCAGACCTCTCCTCTGCGTTCCAAAACTGTATATCTAATAGACTCATCAACATCTCCACTTGAAAGACACCTTACAATCTTATAACAAGTCCAGTTTCATAATCTGACCCTTCAAGCCCAGGCTTTTGTTTTTCTTCTTCTTCTTCTTTTTTTTTTTTGTGAATGGAATCCATCCAGTCATATAAACCTGAGATTTAAGGACCATTCTAGATACTGTTCTCTCTCTCCCACTCATCTCCAATATTCCATTAATATCAATCCCTTAATTGTGTTCATTTCGCCTCCTGAATGTCTATTTTCATTTCTCTCATCTTCACTGCTCCTACATCTTTCCAAGATACTATACTGGTTCACATGATTTCCTGCAAAAGAATCCCAATCACTCTTCACATTTGTACCTTTATTGTCCACCCTTAAAACTAATAATTTTTATCTTTAAATAATAAAAAAATTTTATCTTTTAAAAAATTCAGAGGATGGGCACATTGGTTTATGCCTGTAATGCCAGCACTTTGTGAAGAAAAGGCGTAATGCTCTCTAGAGGTCAGCCGTTTGAGACAAATCTGGGGAACAGGGCAAGACCCCCCATCTCTACAAAAAAAAAATAGCTAGGTATGGTGGTATATGCCTGTAGTCCTAGCCACTCGGGAGGCTGTGGTGGGAGGACAGATTCAGCCTATGAGTTTGAGGCTACAGTGAGCTATGATTGAGCCACTGCATCCCAGCCTAAGTGATAGAGAGAGACCCTATCTCTAAAGAAAGAGAAATTAATATATGATTATGTAAACTATTGCACAATTCTACTCTTCCCCTGTCCTCTCCTGCTACCAATAACTTTCTCTTTGGGGACGGAAGACAAAACTATCTCCATCTTGCAGCTTCTTACTCTCTAGAACCCAGTCATACGGAATTTTAATTCCCCTGGAGGCCTCTGCTTCTTTCAGATTCATGGCTTCTTTCTGTTTGATCCTTTTTACTTCACCTACTGAGCTCATCCTTTAGATTTCAGCACCAAAGTGATTTCATGGGGAAGCTTTTCCTTCCTTCTGAACAGGTTACCACCCCTTTCATAGCTTTCACCACAGTTAATAACTATGCACTTGTTGATTTTCTGTTTAAAATTTTTTTCCATGACTGGACCATAGGCCTCAGAAGGGCAGGACCCCAGGCTATTTTCCTCACCATTGAGTCCCAGCTCTGACCGAATGACTTGGCATGGTAAATGAATTCTCACAAACAGATTCTAAACTGAACTCAGAATGTGCTCAATTTTGACTGTAGGAAAACTAGACTATTTAATTGCTCTGGTCACTATCATTAGAGAATTTTAACCTCCTGGAATTGTACTGAATGACATTTAACAAAAAATATTGATTGAGTAGAACTCAACAGTTCATGGAAAAGGGCGAACTCTGTACCATGTCCTCTCTATTTGATTTAACTCATCTATGAAGTTTATGTAAAATACCTGTTACAGAAAATTTGAGAATTTAAGAAGGCCAATTTATTATTATAAGCTTTCATTTGTGGTCTAGCAGTTAATAATGATACAAATCATTGAAATAGAATTAAACATTTTTATTATTAATTATTATGGACATATAGTTGTACACATTTATGAAGTACACATGATATTTTGATAGAAGAATACATAGTGTAATGATCAAATCAGTGTAATTGGGATATCCATCATCTCAAGCATGTATCATTTTTCGTGTCAGAAACATTCCACTTCTACTCTTTTAGTTATTTTGAAATATTTGATAAATTATTGTTAACTATTGTTGCTCTAAAGTGCTACCAAACACCAGATCTAATTCCTTCTATCTAACTGTATTTTGGTGCCCATTACTTATCCCCACTTTATCCACCACACCCTACCCTAGTACCCTTCCTATCCTCTGGTAACCATCATTCTACTACTTATCTCTGTGGTAGAAGACATGACAATATACAGACAAACCACAAGTACAATCAACATGAAACTCTGGATTAATAAGACAAAGACAAGAGTAACCAATCTGCGCAAATAAGATTAAGTAACAGTTCATCGTGATAACTATTTTGCAAGCATTCTTACATATATCTACTAATAACTTTTATATTCTCAAGTAAATTGCCAAGTTGAAAATCAGTGAACTGCATCCAAGTCATTTGATTAGTCTTTAATGCACATGAAATTGAGTTTTAAAGCAGTTTACAAATCAATTCTGCAAGCTTATTACAATGCATTGAAAGTCAATGACTACTTTTGTTAATTTTTCATCATTTACTTCACACTCCTCCTTTGAAAAACAATTCACTGGCTTTCTTAAATTAATGACCACATAGGCATTTAGTTCATTCCTATAGTTTAGGCATATCCAGTGTGGTACAGATGGTCTTTTCTGCATCACTAGGTTAATAGGACCATGTTATATTGCATTACAGATTTAGTTGTCTAACTGTAGTTCATGCGGAAAGAATGCACATTGAGAATTTTGCTCAATGCTAGCACTTTCAGGCATGAAATATAAAACATAGATAAGTGTAATCCTGTTATGGATCTTAACACTGAAAAACATCCGTGCAAGTTAAGTCTTCAGATTTTATTATATTTGATTTCTAATTTGAATAATTAAAATAGATACTATTTAACCTATTTACTATAATGCTCAATAAATGTGAAATAACAGAAACAGAAAAAGGTTTTGCACACATTTTTACACATTTCCAGAAAGAATTACAAGTACTGGTAAATGACTTACATGATTATAATTTTGTTTAAACACATCCTTTTCATATAAGAAGGCATACAGTTGTTAATATACATGAATATAATTACAGTAGTTACAATTAACTACTAGTATAATGTCTTTCTCAGGACATGTCATTTTTGTGAAGATGCTGAATATAAATTTGGAGGGCGCATCTTCATCAATCCTGTCATATATAACTAACAACTTTGTAGTTCTCAACCAAGAAAACGTAGATATTCCCATCATCTTTCTCTGTGAAAAGTCTATAATTATAACTTTAATGTACACATGCAAAAATGTTAAATATTTTGCCAAATTCATACAGAAAATTCATGTCAGGTTAGCATAAAACAGCAGTTTCCTTGATTTAATTTTAGTTTTACCCAAGGTTTGGTGTTTTCTTGGGTCATAAATAGCCACATGAGAATCTAATGAAAATCCTG